TACTAACTAGACATCAAAAAATCTTTCTGAAAATATTTTTAAAATGCTAACCGCTTAGACTGAGTGACTCATTATGTATTGTATCAAATACAATCCGCACAAGAAAGGGCTCTCATTGTCTACCACATTATTAACATTTAGTAAAATGCACAGCTCATTCATAAATCTGACTGGTATCTCCATTTACGAAAACATAAGTAACCTGTATTTAAGTCACTATTCAAGCTGCTTTTAAACTCTGGCCTTTCAACTCCAAAGACAGGAAAGCAACTCCTGAGAAACAGCAAGAAATGGCTTGCCTTTCTATTGCTTCTTCAAGCAGATACTAGAACCAAATGTCAGATTAGATGCTACATTATATATATACTGTCAAATTTATTAAAATAGAATGTCTGACAGAAAAGATACAAGAAGCACAAACCATAAAAGATAAGACTGATAAGTTCAATAAGTTAAGTTATGAACTTTTCTCACCAAAAGACTGATGAAATGAAGACATGTGACTAACTGGGAAAGAATATTTGCAATCCATAAATGAATAATTGGTATCTAGAATATGGACTTCTGGTGTGGCGCTGTAAGATAAGCACTGGACTGCAAACCACAAAGGTCAGCAGTTCAAAACAACGAACTGCTCCTCGGAAATCCTATACAGGGTCACTACAGTCCAAATCAACTAGATGGCATTTAACAAGAATCCAGAATGTATTTTTTAAACTCTTAAAATCAGTGAAAAAAAGAGAAACCCAAAATAAAAACAGGAAAATAATTTGAATACATATTTTACAAAAGAAATTCAAATGATCAATGAACATATGCAATGATGCTCAACTTAGGGAAAAGCTAATAATAACACAATACTAGAGAAACCATTTCTACATTGGAAAAAAATGTAAAGGTCTGACAATATTAATTACTGGGGAGGAAGTAAAGCAACCTAAACATACAGTGCTGGCGCTTGACTCAGTAACCACAAGATTTACCATTGCCATGAACAAATCAGTGACTCAAATACTGGAAGTATTTGTATTAAGCACCTGATAATAAACAATCCAGAATTCTGAGAACATACGCAAACTACTGACAAACACAAATTCTGGTCCTGAACTGGGTCTAATCTGACTCAGCAATACAAAAAACAGAAAAAACTTTTAGTCCTTATCCAGTTTATCAGGTTTTTTTGTGCAATACAAAATATTCAGGTATTCATTTCCTCCTAGAATACTGATGACATCATAAGTGACTAAAATTTAATGAGCTATCATCATTCAAGTTATAATAATATTTCAGTAAGAATAAGTAATTTAAAATGGCATTACTTTAAAACTTCTGACCAACTAAGAGGGGCAACATGGTGTAACTGATACAGTATTGAGATTGGACAGAACTAAGTTCAAATACAGATTCTATAAATCTTAGTTAAAGTATACAACCTCTCTGATCCTCAGTTTCCTCAAAAAATATAAAACAAAACAAAAACATGCATACCTAATCACACAAAATCTATCTACCTAATCACACAAAAGTTCATGGAAAAATAGAATTAAAGATATGCATTATATATTATATACGCTATCTTTAATTCCATTTTTCCAATAGCTTTTTGAAGCCCCTTTGTATTGTGAATACTGAGAGTATGTAAAATGTTTAACGCTGCTTGGTACAGCAGTATATAGCCAGTGTCAGTGCCTTTCTCTTTGTAAATCTTGCTACTCTAACCTAAAAATTTTTTAACCTGAAACCATAATCCTCAATTGACAAGAAAATACTACTCCTTAGGTGCCACCAAGTCACTTCCAACACACTGTTGTTGTTAGGTGCCATCGAGTCATACCAACCCTATGTACAACAGAACTAAACACTGCCCAGGTCCTAGGCCAACCTCACAATTGTTGCCATGCTTTGAGCCCACTGATGCTGCCACTTTGCCAATCCATCACGCTGGGGCTCTTCCTCTTTTTCTCTGACCCTACCACACAGAGAACTATAAACAATAAGGTGAAACACTGGGCCATCCTCACAATTATTCTTATGTTTGAGCCCATATTTGCAGCCACTTTTGTCAATCCATCTCACTGAGGGAGGGGCTTCTCTTTTTCACTGACCGTTTACTTTACCAAGCATGATGCCATGCTCCAGGAACAGGTTCCTCCTGATGACATGTCCCAAGTAAGTGAAACAAAGCCTCTCCATAATTTCTAAGGCGTATTCTGCCAGTACTTGTTCTAAGACACATTTATTTGTTTGTACTTCTAGCAGCCCAAGGTATATTTAATATTCTTCACCAACACCATAATTCAAATGCATTAATTCTCCTTGATCTTTCTTATTCATTGTCCAGCTTTCACATGTATATGGTGGTGGTAGTGGTGGTTATGTGCCATGGAGTCAGTTCCTACTCACAGGGACCCTGCACAGGATTTCAGAGGCTGTTAATCTTTAAAGGAACAGAAAGCCTCATCTATCTCCTGCCGAGAAGCTGGTACTTTCGAACTGCTGACCTTGATGTTCACAGCCTAAGTCAGCTACCAGAGCTCCTCACATGTATATGAGGAGACTGAAAAGACAATGGCTTGGGTCAGCTGCAGCACTCCAGGAAATTGTATGCTAGAGTTTATAAGATCTTAACTTCTTTCTCTTAAATCAAAGAATTTTTCCCATAAGCTTATAGATTCTGGAAAAGAGGACAGACTTTTACTTGGTTTTGTGGTACACAAGCAGGGATTCTCAAACTATGTGGGAAGCTAAATTCAGGTGACTTCTAAGTTTCTTTTAACTCAATGTTTTTTTATTCTAAAGAGACTATCTGATTATTAATGATAAAGGGGTGAGTTTGTGGAAAAAGTTTACACTTATAATAGTCTACATTTGAAAAACCTCAACATATTTGACAATATAATTAGAAACAGGAAAATTTTACAATACTGGCATCTACACCATGAATATTATACACATCTACACTGTTAAAAATACTCAGAAAGAATTTTAATCACTGGATTAAACTTCTGGGGTCCTCACTTTAAATAGAAAGAAACAAAAACACAAAGTAACATTTTCCAGTCAGAGAAAGCTGAAATAACCAGCACTGATGAGAATTATCTATAGACCTAGCATTATTTTACCACAACACTGTTACTGTCTTCTTCTAAATTAAAAGGAATAATAAAACCTTTCAGATACACATAAGATGCCATAATGAAGGAATGAGTCTTAAGTACTAAACAAATGAAATAATGCTCTTATATTCACATTTAATTATTTTTCCTTTGCCTTCATTTGTAAAATAACTTTTTTTTTTCCTTCAGTGAGGCCACAACAGGTTAATAAGTGACTTTCAAACCTGCTGTGCAGTGATCATGATGTTCCCTAAAAACCAAACACTGGGAAAACATTAATTTTCCCATTTCCCTAAATATAAAGTAAGTACCTACCCATCCTCTCTCTGGATCCTAACGGACTCCAAGTTGAGACCCTCTCTGGGTTTCTGCCGCCTTTTTCAGTTTCAAGCTGGGATTTGCTGGGTAATTCTAGATTTAGGATGGAGCGAAGATTCTAAATCTGTGTTGAAGTCTGAAGTTCTTGAGAATGAGCTATGATCATCTACTAAACCTGAGTTAGAAGAAGAATGAGATGGTGATCCAATCTGAGACTGACCAAATTACATGCCCCAGAGAACCCTTAGGAGCTCTGGTAGTGTAGTGGTTAAGAATCGGGCTGTGAACCGCAAGGTCAGCAGTTCGAAACTACCAGCTGCTCGGCAGGAGAAAGATGAGGCTTTCTGCTCCTGTAAGATTTACAGCCTTGGAAACCCTGCTCAGGGTCGCTGTGGGCCGGAACCGACTCGATGGCACTTAATAACAACTAAATATAAAACACATTATTAATACAACACACAGTAGGCATTCATTAAAACTTGAGTAAGTAGCAGAATAGATGAAGGCCAACTAAGAAACAATAAATTATGAAATTCTATTTGAAGAATATAAGTCAATCAGACAATGTAATTCTCCTGACTTTGGACATTTCACATTCTCTGATATAAGAGAATACAGAAACTTGCAGTTTAACTGAACTGGAAAGACTAAGTGCTCTGTTTTTTCCACCATGGTACCTGACAAAATTTCAAAGAGAAACATTCATTGTATCCAAATTCTCAAATACTGTATAAGAGTCCAAGAAAGAGACAAAGCACTAGGAAGTGAGGTAAGAACAAAATATATTTAACAGTCAATTGCCAATCTGGTTTTAAACATCTCAAGGTGTCTAAAAACTCTTAAAATTTTACTTTTTAACACACAGTGTATTTTTAGGCCCAGCCACATTTTTAAGAGACAGTTATGCGTGGCAACATCACAAAGGTCAAAGATCACTGAGACAGCAAATCAAATAAATGAAATACCACTTGACACCATACAAAAAAGAAGAGAGACTGTTTTTGAGGCCCAGGTCCACTATAAAATTAAGTCTCCACCCAAGAAACAAACAAAAAAGGCAAGATAAACATACCTGGAGAACAGACATTGTGAATAAAAACATCCCCAAAACTCAGTCACTCACTATCTTATTTCACTGCCTCAGGAAGAACGAAATCAATTTCTCACGCCCCCAGCTCAACCTCAACTTCCCATCCCTCACCGTCTTTAGTAAAATCTGGGTCTCCCTCCCCAACATCTTTCACCTAGTTTCCACCGACCCTCACTCTAACCAGAATTTGTGTACTGCACCTATCTTCCAGTAGGTTATCAGTCTCAATTCGAACTCATTTTTCCGCATCCCAACTGCCCTCCGCCCCTTCAACTCTGATCTCACTCCGACCCTTCTCCCAAAATCCACCCCAGGGCACAGATCTCTGGGTGCTTCCCCTTTCCACCCCTCATCACCAGTTCTTTTCATCCTCCCAGGTTCTTCCCTGGGCATCCTCCCCCATCCGTCTCCCAATTTACGGACACCCCCCGAACTCCGCCTATTTTTTCCCCTTCCCCATAGGAAGGCCCCCTCACCTGAACGCCGTAACAGCTGCCGTCCTAGAAGCCAAAAGGTGCTGGCGCCGACCGGCCGCCCAGGCTCGGTCTCCGAAGAGCTCCTGACAGCCCCTAGGGAAAGCGAACGCCACCGCCTCCAACTCTGGCCGCCCCAAGCCAGGCCGTCACCGTAGACACCGCCAGTACCGCAGCCGCCATGTTGAAGTCCTACTTCCCTCCTCCTTCCCCTCGCGGTTCCGCCCCTTTGGGCGTCTGACGTCATGGCGCCGCGCTCCACCCGCCCAGGCCAATGGGAGGGGCAGACCGTGACACTGCTGACCTCTCTCGCGCTGAGTTCCGTCTGCATCCTGGGGCGTTGCAATTACAACGTGTAAATTCGATGGACCTATGGAGGAGGAGAACGGGTCACTAAGAGAGTAAAGCGTTAAGATTGGAGAGGTGACCAAGGCTGGACAGCCGATAGCCTTGAATAGCTAAGGAAAGCACGAAGATTTAACAATGGATCCTACTTGGAAATCAGGATGCCTAGCTTCCGGTCCCGACTCAGGCACAGAGTACGAGTCTTAGCCTCTCTAAGTTTAATTTTACTCATTTATAAATGAATGCGTTGGAAAACAACCTCCAATTTTCACTCCAATTCTGATATTCAATAAATTTAAAACAGGTAATCTAATCTTATATTTTCTCTGCCTTCTGTGTTTATTATATGTCTCCTGGAATTAGGTGCCTAGAGGATTCTTAATGAAATGAATCTGTTACCAGAAGTTTCAAACCAGTGAGAAAAATGCATAAATAATTAACTCTAATAAAAGTCCGAAAGTGACAATGGTTTAACACCCGGAGGTATAGCTTAGTTTAGTTCTAGCTAATGAGTCCTGGCGCTGTGGGTTAATCCGCTGGACTGCAAAGTCGTTTTCAGTCGCAAGGTCAGTCTTTTAAGCTAACTAGCCACTCCTCCTAGGAAACCCTATACCGGAAGGAGTCCTGGTGTGGTGCTGTGGGCTAATGCGTCAGACTGCGAGTCGTTTGAACTGCAAAGATCGGTGGTTCAAGCTCATCAGCTGCTCCTTGGAAACCCTATACAGTGTCGCTATGGGTCGGATTTTGATACGTTCTTTTTGATGATGAATGCAAAGCCATTCCTCTTCAATACCACTCCATTTCAGCTTACTGATGCCTAAGATATTGATGTTTATGCGTTCCATTTCATTTTTTGACAACTTCCAATTTTCCTAGATTCATACTTCATACATTCCATATTCTGATTATTAATGGATGTTTACAGCTGTTTCTCTTAATTGTGCCGCATCAGCAAATGAATGTTCCGAGGGCTTTATTTCATTCATGTCATCACAGTCAACTCTACTCTGAGGAGGCAGCTCTTTCCCAGACACTTTTTGAATGCCTTCCAACCTGAGGGTATCATCTTTCAGCACTGTATTTAACAATATTTTGGTGTTTTTCATCATGTTTCGATAGTCAATAACCTGATGCTGACAGTGTCCCACTGCTGTTCATAAGGCTTCCAGTGACTAAATATTTGGAAGTAGTCTTCTCTCATTCTTCCTAGTCTGTCTTCGTCTGGAAGCTCAGCTGAAACCTGTCCACCGTGGGTGACCCTGATGGTATTTAAAATACCGGTGGCATAGCTTCCAGAATCACAGCAACGCACAAGCCACCACAGTATGACAAACTGACCAATGAATGGTGGAATGTTGATGATAGATCCAAGCAAAATAAAGTCTTTAACAACTTCAATCTTTTCTCCATTTATCATGATACTATTTATTGGTCTAGTGGTGAGGATTTTTGTTTTCTTTACATTGAGGTGCAATCCATACCAAAAGCTGTGGTCTTTGATCTTTATCAGTATCTTATGTCTCCTTCGCTTCTAGCAATCAGTATCATCTGCATATTACAGATTGTTAATAAGTCTTCATCCAATCCTGATACCACATTCTTCTTCATGTAATCCAGCTTCTCGAATTATTTGCTCAACATATAGATTGAATAAGTATGGTGAAAGAATAAAACCCTGGTGCACACCTCTCCTAATTTTAAACCATTCAATGTTCCCTTGTTCTGTTCGAAGAACTGTCTCTTGGTCTATGTACAAGTTCCTCATGAGCACAATTAAGTGTTCCAGAATACTCATTCTCCAAATTGTTGTCCATAGGTTGTCATGATCCACACAGTTGAAAGCCTTTGCATAGTCAATATAGCATAGGTAAACATCTTTCTGGTATTCTCTGCTTTCAGCCACGATCCATCTAACATCAACAATGATATCCCTCATTCCATGTCCTTGTCTGAATCCAGCTTGGATCTCTGTTAATTCCCTATCAATGTACTGTTGCAGCCATATTTGAATTATCATTAACAAAATTTTATTGGCATGTGATATTAATATTATCCTATGATTTCCATATTCCATTGGGTCACCTCTCTTTGGAAATGGGTACAAATATGGATCTCTTCCAATCAGTAAGCCAGGTTTCTTCCAGATTTCTTGGCACAGATGAGTGAGTGCCTCCAGTGCTATGTCAGTTTGTTGAAAGATTTCAATTTGTATTCCATCAAGTCTCAGAGCCTTGCTCTTTGCCAGTGCTTTCAGTTAACATTAGAGTTCTTCCTTCAGTGCCATTTGGCTTTTGATCATATGCTTCCTCTGTTGAATGGTTGGTTGAATATCGACCATTTCTTTTTGGTACAGTGACTCTGTATATTCCTTTCATCTTCTTTTGCTGCCTTCTGTACCATTCAATATTTTGCCCATAGAATCCTTCAGTATTATTAGTCGAGGCTTGAATTTTTTCCTCAGTTTTTTCAGCTTGAGAAATTCTGAGAGTATTCTTTCTTTTTTTGTTTTTTTTCATTGTGATTTATTCTGTGCAGTTTAAAGTTGAAACGTCATACAACCCACAGATGTTTTAGGTATAGCAACTACCAGTTTTAAAAAAACAACAAAGAGGCAAATGATTATTTACACACATTCCTCATGTCTAAATTTACATCTTGTTATACAAAGGGTCTAATGAACTCTGGTAGCTTAGTGGTTACAAATCGGGCTGCTAACCTCATGGTCGATTAGTAACCACTAAGCTACCACAGCTCCTTGGTGTATATATTAGAAACCTATTTAACAATGCTACAGAAATATTTAGTGGGTTTTTGTTTTTTGGGTTGAGAGTGTACTTTCCTTTTGGTTTTCTAACTCAAAACTTTGTATATTTCATTATAATATTTGACTTTGTCACCTAGAGCTGCCTTTTTGAATTTTCTGTTCAGCTCTTTTACCTCCTCATTTCTTCCATTTTCTTTACCATTTCTATGCTGGAGAGCAAGTTTCAGAGTCTCTTCTAACATCCATTTTGAATGTCTTTTCTTTATTACTTGTCTTCTTAACAACCTTTGCTTTCTTCCTGTATGATGTTCCTGATGTCTTCCCACAACTCTTGTGGTTTTCAGTCATTAGTGTCTAATGTATCAAATCTGTTCTTGAGATGATCTCTGAAGTCAGTGGGATATGTTCAAGGTCATATTTTGGCTCTCTTGAATTTGTTTTAATTTTCTTTAGCTTTAGCCTAAGCTTGCATATGAGCATTTGATGATCTGTTCCACAGTATTAACTGGTTTTCCTTGTAGGCAAATGGGTATTATCCTATCACAGATAGCATTACACTTTAATATAGATCTTGAAATATTCTTTTTGATGATGAGTATGACACCATCTTCAATTTGTCATTCCCTGCATAGTCTATAATTTATGTTTCAATATTCAATAGTCTGCTTCTATCTGACAGTGTTTCACTGATATTCATAAGGTTTTCAGTGACTAATAATTCAAAAGTAATCTGCCTGTCCTTCTTCCAAGTCTGTCTTAGTCTTGAAGCTCAACTGAAACCTAGCTACCATGGGTGACCCTGCAGGCATTCAAAATACCAGTGATATAGCTTTCAGCATCATGTTGTTGTTACATACAGCGACCCTGTATAGGGTTTCCGAGGAGTGACTGGTGAGCTTAAACCGCCAACCTTGCAGTCTGGCACATTAATCCACAGTACCACATCAGCATCATAGCAACACACAAACCACCACGGTGCAACAAACTGACTTGTCAAGTGGTAGTTGGAGCCATTAAGAACACTAATATATAGGAGATGGGAGAAGCAGCAAAAAATGAGATGGAGAAAATCATGGCCAGAGAAGTAGTAAGGAATCAAAAGACTACAGCTCTATGAAGAAGAAAGGAAAAGCCTTGCAAGAGCTTGTGCCTCTCCTCTCACAGCAAGACTCCCAGAGATTAGGAACAAGCCTTCCACCTCATACAGAGACTTTTGGAAATTTCTTGTCAACCTCCATCTCCTAATCTAAGATTTTTTATCTCTGTCCTCTAGCTGTAAGTAAGGAATAGGTTGCTGAGTGTCCACTCCTGGGTCAGCTGTCATGTACCTTCCCCACATCCCACAAAGGTTGCCCATCCTTGAGAAATGGAAAAGAAGTGAGAATATTTCCTTGGGGAAAAAAAAAACACTTCTCCACCTTCCTAAGAGTGACTTATACTTATCAATTTCCAGGTATGAATGCCAGTGATAACTCACCTGGAGCTTGAATAGACTAAACAGGATGCCAGTCTTCTGCTGCCACTGCTCTGTGTCTTTCCCTCCCATTGCACCTAGAGAGCATTCAGCACAAAAGCCGCTGGTCTGCAGCAGGACTCCAGCCCAAGAAGCACTAGGTTGCCCCCTCTCTATCTCCATTGTCTTTCTGCTTCTCTTTGTATCCTAGACATTTAGTGTGTTGAAGGGCAGAGGCAGGAAAGACAGCCAGCTCTACAATCTTAATCTTTTATTCATTCAGCCATCCAGCATTGACTAAGTCCTAACATGTACCAGGCATGAGCCTACAAAGATGTTCTCACAAAGGTCTAGTGAAGCATTCAGACAGGTGTACAGATAATTATAATAACTGGAAGAAAATCATCTAGGATTCTTAAGTAGCACATTCTATAACTGAAGCGTAGAGAGGAAAGAGAGTTCAGTTAGATTTGAGAAATCAAGGAAGACTTCATGAAGATTTGAGACATTTAAGTTAGGTCTTAAATGACAAGTAAAATGAAAGATACCTAAAGCAGTAAGAATATTCTAATTGAAAATATGGTTGCAGTAAAGTTCCAGAAAAAGTCAGAATTGGTAAGTAGAGCAAAAGATATATGCATATGTATGAGCGCAGAGGGAGATAAGCCTGG